AAAGTATAACAAAACTGAATAGTATATAGATATATTAAATCTGCTACTAAAAACTTTGGTCTAAGGTCTAAAATATAAAAGGTGAAACTTATAAAAAATTAATAGAAGAGGTAGTTTAAATATTTTTTAATTATAAAAATTTTTATCAATGTCTTTGATACTTACAAAATGAAAACTTAGAGATCACAAGTAGAAGAATCAGATAAATTAATGTATGATATTTAAACTAACAAAACAATACATTAAATTTGAATTAAGAAGTTGTGAATAAAGCTAAAAAGCTCAGTGATAATACTGTTGTAAAGACTACTCAACTGATTAATAAAATTTTCAAAAGTTCAAAAAGAACTGAGAATGATCAAGTAAAAATTTTACTATTTTATAGTCATTAGTGATTAATCTCTATCAATATATATATATTTTTATTAAATTAATAAAGAATACTCCAAAATATCAGACAATTATAAGCCTAAAAATAATGAGAAGCTTGAAAGTAATAAGAGATCTATAACTAGCAATCTGAATATTGTCTTCAAAATACTTGAGCAAATGAATTTTGAAAAAATATTATATATGCCAAAGATATTGATTCTATTCAAAATAGCAATAACAATGTAAGAATTTTTAACTACTGTGTTTAATAATTTATTTGAAATTTCACAAATAAAAAAAATTAATATAGATTATTGGGAAAATACTTTTTTTGGTATTCCTAATTTGAAATTGCAACGAACAAGATTAATTCATATTTGTAAAATCTTTTTTTAAAAATTATGATTAAAAAAATGATTGTGAAACTATATTATATTTTTTGTCAATTGTTAGCATTTTGTCAATTGTTAGCAGTTTTGTTAATTGTTAGCAGTTTTGTTTATTGTTAACAGTTTTGTCAATTATTAGCAGTTTCATCAATCATCAGTAGCTTTGTCAATCATCAGCAGTTTTATTAAACAAAACTATTGACTAAATAGTTTTGTTACCACAAAATAGTTTTGTCACCCATCTTTACTTGGGATACAAAACAATATAATTGTAAAGAAATATGATAATTATAGAAGTCAAATTTATTATAATTAATAATTTATAAAGAAAATGTGCTTATATTAAAGATGGGCAATAAAACTATTTTGCAGTAACAAAACTATTTTATTAATGGTTTCATTAATGAAACTTTAATAATTGATGAAGCTACTGACAATTGACGAAGCTACTAATAATTGATAAAACTGCTGATGATTGATAAACTGCTGATGATTGATAAAACTGCTAATGATTGATAAAATTGCTGATGATTGATGAAACTGCTAATGATTGATAAAAAACATAATATAGTTGCCTGGAAAATGGAATGAAAAGATATTAAATAAATAAAGGTCAACAAAGACTAACTGTGGATTTTGCTAATACAAAAAAAATTATAAAAATTATATTTCTTTATTTTAGCATCCCTGGATGCTGAAATAAGATATATGATAATTGATATAGTATATAGAAATAAATTAGTAATAGATTAGTGATGCATAAATTAGTTAAATAAGTAATATATCAATTAGAATGGTGTATAAAAAATGTTATAATAAGGTTTATAGAAAATAGCATAATTAATAATTTAATTAGAGTTAAATATACATAATCAAAATATGTTAGTCTAAAAGTAGAAGCAAAAATAATAAAATTTTAAATAAAGTGCTTTTCTTCAAAAGTAATACACTTGAAATATATTATTTAAGTTACTTATTCTATTTGACCTTGTGGTGGTCAACATAGTACAGTGTAATCAATATTTGAGTTAGAAATTTAAAAATAGATAATGAAACTATTTTACTATTGATAAAATAGTTTGTTAATACTTTCATTTGATGATACTTTGATATTTGATGAATTTATAGATGATTGATGAAACTATTGATGATTGACAAAACTACTAATGATTGATAAAATTATTAATGAAACTATTGACAAAATTTTTGGCAAAACTATTATAATTATGAAACAAAAAGATCAATTTAGAATATAGATAGATGTCAAATTTTAATAAGAAATTTAAAATAATAATTTATAATTAAATGATATTGTTGCAATTTTTTTTGAAATTTGGCATCTATTTATAAATATATAAAGTTTTTATTTACTTGTTAAAATTTTGACAACATGATTTTCGAAGTGCTATAGATAAATTTTTTGAATTTTCAACCTCTACATTTTTACCAATATCTCTGTTAACATTTTCACTAATATCTCTGTTAATATTATTTATACTATTTAAATTATCAATATTATTATTATTTTTATAATTCTATTCCTTCATTAAATCTGTTGCTAATTCTGCAGGATTGAAATTAATAATGTCTTTTTCTATCATATCAGATCTAATCATTAAATCTCATATTCAATTTTAGGATCTTCTTTAGTATAGATGGGTATATATAAATTATTGCAAGATTATAATATATAAAATCTAACTAATTTGAGCTAATTTAAATTCTAACCTTAATCTTAACTCTAATAATTTATAAAATTATTTAAATTAGTTTAAAATAGTTAATTTATATATATTGTAATTGTATAATAATTATATATATCTACCTATACTAAAGATCAACCTAAAAGTACAATATCTTCAATATCAAAACATTCAATGATATTTGGATTGTACTCAATATCTTTTACTTCAGAATCTTCATTTGTTTTATTATTGTCTTCTGCTAAAAATGTTGCAGAAATTATTTGTTCTTGTAAATTATCATATGTTAGTATTTTATCAAAAATAGCTAGTTCTTTTTTGATATTTAAAATACAAAAAGACTAAATTTGTGCTATTGCTTGAATTTGGAAAAGAGAAAGCCTTTGTCTTCACTTTCTATACAACAAACCCAATTATGAGAAGGTTTTTTCATAGTTAGCAAAGTGAGAGGTAATTAAAAATATTTTAATTGCAAGTTTACTGATAGAAATAGAGCCAATATAAGTAGTTGTCTACCATAAAAGAGGAGTATCAACTTCAAAACTATAAGATAAATTAAATTCATTATTTTTTCTCAGAATTGCTGCATATAAGCTACAAGATTTATATAATCAAGATTATCATGTCCTTGTTACCAAATTTGAATTGTTGTTTGTACAAACAATATATAAAATTAAATTAATATAACTTAATTTAATTTATTTAATTTATTAAATTTTTGAAATTATTAATATATCATGATATCCTGGGTTAGAAAAATATATAAATAAATAATAATTCCTATCAAAATTTCTTTATTTTTTGTTAATTACTTGGATGCAATAATTTTTAAACAAATTAACTTCAAAGTTTGAAATTTTTTTAACTGAAGCTGCTAATCAGACAAATTGAATAAAACAATCAGCTAAAGTTGTTAATTGAGCCTCTAAATTTATAAATATTGCTTGAATAGAAGAAAAAACTTTAACTAAAATTTTAAGATTAGAAAAGAAAATAAGTATTTTAAAATTTGTTTTATATTTTGATTGGTAATTAAATTTAAATTTTCATTCATAATCTAAATAAAATATTTAATTTTAGTAATTAATAAAATTTAACTATTTATATTAAATATTTTATTTTATTTTAATAAATATCCATTCAAGTTAACTAACAGATAATATGCATCTTGCAAGTACTAACTAGTTTTTTTATCTAATCTCAAGATTTCAAAAGGTGTTTATACAATAAACAGTTTTTAATAATTCTTAAAATAAAAAAATTTGTATATTATGCCAAAATACTATATTAAATATAAAATGTATTACTAAATATAGGTTTCTTATAAGTTTATTATTTGTCATGAGCTTTATCATAAGCTTCATCATGAGCTTTGTTATTTGTCATAAATTATATTATTCATTAATTAGTTAACTTGAAGTCGCCTAATAAAAAGGTTTCGTTATTTGTCAATGACAAATGATTCATCATTCATCAATCATCTTTAGCTTATATAAGAGGTGACTATAGAGAGGTTTGATTGTATATAATTTTATTAAATATTAAATATTAAACAAAACTATAGAAATAAATAATTAAATCTTTAATAAAAATTTAGTACTAAATTATAAAAAACTAATTAATTACATTCAAACCTCTCTATAATCACACACTTGAGATACAAAACAATATGATTGTAAAGAAATATGACAATTATAGAGGTCAAATTTATTATATTTAATGATAGGTAGTTTTTAAAAAAATGAGTTTATAAAGAAAATGTGCTTATATAGGAGATAACTATAGAGAGGTTTGACGTATTTTAATAATTTATACAATGCTAAGTTTTATAATCCAATTGGAATAAACACAAAATTAAAGTTTCTAATTAAAGATTAGGGCTATATTTTTAGTTTTGATTAGAATTTGTTAACTGAAATTTCATGTTTATTATTTTTTTCAATATCTTTTATTTGAATTAAATTAAAGATAATTGTATATAAACTTAAGTCATTTATCTGATATAATCATCAAACTAAATAAAGGCTAAGCCATATTATTACACTTCATAGTTTTCAGTGAATATTGAAATAAGTTATATAATAAGAAATATTTTTTGATAAATGAGATTGATTGGCTAATATATTCGATTTACAGAGTTAAGACTTAATATTTTACTTGTATTTAGCAAATATTTTTTTGAAAATAGCTAATTTATGAAATTGGCATCTAAGTTTATTCATATTTGGAAAATAGAATTTAAAAAAATTTTTAACAAACAAGATTAATTGGCAAACGTATTCAATTCATAGTAATTATTTTACATGTACTATAATGAATATGCAACTTTTTGTTTCTATAAAAAATAATAAAATTTTTACAAAATAATAGATATACAAATTTTGTCTAATCTAAAGTCAAAAAAATGTTGAAGAAATCAGAAATCAGTAATCAAAAATTAGTAATTGCTTTTTTTTTTAGATATTTTTAGGCATCTTTAGTTTGTGATGAATAACATATATATTACTAGCCTAATGACCAATCAAAATCTGTGACTAACACATGATTAATCTAATTAGAAATTATAGAAATCCAATTATGATACAGCAGTGTTGTACATTTTGACTATCCAAAGGCTTTTTTGGTACTGTTCAACGTCCAAGTATCCAAGTGTCTACAAGTATCTAGAGCATATCCAAGCTTTAATAATTAATAAATTTGTTTAAAAACTATATAATTATATATTTTTTATGTGCTGAACATATTTTACTTAGAAATTAAAATAGATTATCTTAATAAAATTTTGAGTAATTTTAATTTATTTAATTGTTTAAAATTGTCTAAAGTGTCCAAATTTACTGTCCACAACTGTCCTGTGACAACACTACGATACAGTGCAAAGTTTAATTTTAATCAAGTTAAATTAAGTTATTGATACAGATTAAAGTTTGTGCTTATCATTATATACATACATAACTACATTGTTTGCCTGATTTGTGTAAAATTATATACATACATATATAAAAATCAAAAAATAAAAGAGTATACTTAAAATAACTTACCTCTTTTCACTTTAGTATAGTAATCTAGTAATAAAGTTTTTATAAAATACTGGTAATTTTGAAGAGTAAAGTGAGTTTTTCCTCTATTAAAAAGAAACAATAGAGTTAGTGAAAACTGAATATCTGTAAGTAATGAGTGCTAATTAAAACTTATCAGGTGATTTAGACACTACTCTATTAATGCAATACAATTTATATATATACATTTAACAAACAAATCTCAAGTACTAGAATATATCAAATTTATGAAAATTAGATAAAATTGAATTATTGAATGAAATATTGTAAATTTAACATGAGTGACAAATAAAACTTACTGGAGAAGGCATCAGATGATTTTAGGTATCAGCAACACTAATTGATTATATGATTATCAACCAGCAAAGTTATCAAAAGAATGAATATGTGAATTGTGAAAGTAAAAATCAAGTTAGTAAAGAATGAAATATTGTAAATTTAACATAAGCACTAAATAAAACTTACCAGAAAAAACAGGTAATTTAAAGCATCAGCAATACTAATTAATTATACAATCATTTAATCAGCAAAGTTACCAAAAACATAAACATGTGAATTGTAAAATTAAAGATCATATCAGTAAAGAACAAAATAAATAATGTAAGTTCTAAGTATAAAACTTACCAGATAAATTTATATGCTACTTATTAATTATGATACTAACTGATCTTATATTTTGTTGAGCCAAAGATCAAATACATAGAATTTGTAAAGTATTAAAAAATATTCAACGCATACAAGTTTATAAGCTTTAAAGTGAAAATTAACTTAACTATTTAGATAATTAAGAACAATATTGCTTTGTGATATAGCAATTATACTAATGAATTTATATTACTTAAGGACAAAATGATAGTTTTCAATAAAATCAGTTCAACAGAGTCCAATGAAATCAGTTTAACAGAGTTAAATAACTTTATACTTCAGTTTGATACTTATGATATTATAAAGTTGCCATATATTAATTGTACTTTTCAAAATATGTTACAAGAAGCAAAGTTATACGAATGACCTCTTAATGATAAATTATTAATTACTTAACATTATTAAAATTTTAGTACTATTTATATTTACTGTGTTATCAGGTTAGTATTTCTGATTTTTGAGGTGAAGAACTATTAGTATGGTTTACATCAATTGATTACAAATCATTATTTTTTTCAAGTCATTCCAGGTCAATTTATCTATAATAAAGAATTTGTAAATTCACCGTATTGTAAAAGCTTTTCAGAATTTGAATATCCATCTGAAACTTTAGTAGGACTTGAAAATTTAGAAATTTTGCCAGATTGTAAAAGCTTCTCAGAATTTGAATATCCATCTGGAACTTTAGTAGAACTCGAAAATTTATTAGAATTTGAAAATCTATTAGAATCTCAAGACCAGCCTTTTCAATATAGCCAGGCTTATCTATCTCTTGAAGCATTTAATTAGTGATTTCCCAGTCACTTGATGCATGATTATAGTATAACATAATTCAGATCACTATATAGTGATTTGTATTATGTTATACTATGATCATGCACCAGGTGACTAGCGAATCACCAATCAAATATATTGCAGATCAATTTGCTAAAAAAATAGATTTAAGATAATTTTTTGTAAAGGAAATAAACATAGTAATGGTGTATGTTCTTTACAAGTTTTTATCTGTAATCATTATGAAAAATTTAAATCTAAATTTAAAGATTCAAATAAAAAGAATAGAAATAAAGAATCAAAAAAATGCAACTGCGAATGGTCTATTCGCCTTAATCACAACCAGGATGATGATTAATATTATATTTCACAAGCTGTCTTTGTCATAATCATCTATTAATTCCAGCTCAACTTATGTATATTATGCTTTCTAACCATGAAATACTAGTAGAAATAAAAAAAAATCTTTACTGTGAAAAAAGCTAGAACTTCTACTTCAAAAATCCAGTCACTGCTTACAGTAAAGTATAAACTAGCTATGAAAAAATAGATGATTAAAGATATATATAATTTAATTAGTGCTTACAACAATTTATGTAGTGAATTTCAAACATGAGATTTTCTTTCTCTCCTCTAACAAAAGCATAATAATGATTTCAAATTCTCTTATGAATTCGAATCAGATTGTAACAATTGTTTGAAACACATTATCTGAGCATATTAATCACAAAAAATGTAATATATGCATTTTAATAATACTATTGTATATAATAGTACATATAAAAGTAATTATTTTTTAATATCTTTTGGTGTCTTTACAGGTGTCACTAACAATAGTCACTTTTATTGTGCCGCTAGTGCATTGCTTTGTAACGAAACTTGTTCAAGCTTTGAATAGCTGTTTAAATTTTTTTTTTATATTTTTGGCACAGCACTAAGAACAATTCTTACTAATAATAATCTTCATATAGCAGATGCTATTTATTCTGTCTTAACTAATTCATATGGTACTAAATATAGCCTCTATATCTGACACATATTTAAGAATGTTAGATCTAATATGATATCTAAACTTGAGGTAAAATATTCCGCTTTCATAAAGATCTTGTTAAATGTCTTAATTATTATATTGATCCAAATGAGTTTGAAAAGCAATAAGATAATATTATTGAAAATGATGATTATATAGAAGCAAGATTATACTTAGACATTCTTAGTCAGTGGCATGAGTGGTAGGCTTTAGCCTATCTTAAAGATTATTTTTTGCTAATATGTTATCAATACAGAGAGGTGAATCAATGAACAAATTATTAAAGAGTTTTCTTGATTGTAAAACTAGACTATCAGAATTCTTAGCAGCTTTTGAACATGTGCTTGACCTTCATAAAGAATCTGAACAAATTGCTGCATACAAAGCGATAGTTTATCCTATTTATCCAGTTTCTCAAAATCTAATTAAAAATTAGGCAGTTAGTTGTTTAATGTACTATATTTGAAAGAAGTTCGCTACTGAGTAAAATGCTAAAGATATATATGCATATTGTAAGGAAACAAACAATAAAGGCTTACATCACTTCAAATTGTCATATTATGAAAGGCCTGAAGTTATACATTGGATGTGTTATGATGCTCATAAAATTATCTGTTGTTGCTATTATCTTGAGTTTGTAGGAATAATTTGTTAACATTCTCTTGCTGTGACAATTCATCTTTTACTTACCTATCTTAATCCTGTTTACTTCTCAAAGTGTTGGCAAAAGGACCTATCTGAATTAGTACTTATAAAGGATTATATTGACTTTTATAGTCATTCATGATTACAAACATCAGAAAGTTCAATATTACATGAATCATTTGGTGAAAAGTTCTCTCAGATTAGGTATTTACGTATCTGCCACTTATCAAGGAAAATTGCAAGCAAGATTTCAACTGACCCTGATAAATGTACAGATTTCATGTTGTATTTAAAGAAATATCTAGAAACTTTATATGTCAGCACCAGCTATAAAAATATATTAACAGCTTCAAAACACCTAACAATAAACAATTCTATCAAGAGTAAGGCTATTGGACAACCCAAAAAAGGAAAGATTAGATGTGAAAAAGAGAATACACCAGTATCTGCTATAAAAAATAAATGAGGTCAACCAAAAAAAAATTTAAAAAAAGCATGTCTCAAGACCATGATGAAAGTATTAGACTATTGAAGTGCACTCATACAAATAGTTCAGAAGGTAATTAAATATTTTATTTATTTATTATTTGGTGTGCATGTTCTAACAATCTTTATTTTTGTATAATTTTTAGAAACTTAAGTCATTTTATCTATCTCAATATTATCTATAAGTATGAACATTATTTTATAGTACATATAGTTTATATTTGTTTTTTTTATAAGCTTCTCAATTTATTTTGTATTTAGTTTTAAGTTATGGAAATTGAATTAAAATCTACTGTAATTCAAGCTCGCAAGCATTACTTTTCATAGAACAATCAAATCTTTTATTTCTATTAATTTTATGTTTATGAAAACTGTTTTGTAATTCAAGCTCGCAAGTATTTACTTTCTATAAAACATTCAAATCATTCATTTCTATTATTTTTATGCTAAGTTTATTTTGTGGAATTACATTCTTTTCTATCAAATTGATGAATAACTAGCGTATTTTTTCATGTTATAGCAATTGTATATATAATTTTAACTTATCTTAGTGCTCTAAATTATCAAATTTAAATATCAGATAATACAAGAAAATAAAAGCAGAAGTTTTTCAGATAAGTGATTTATATATTTGGTATCTTTTAAGGATGCAACATTTACTAACAGAAAATAAAATTTTAGGCTATACTTGAGCTTTGAAAGAATGTTTATAAGTACTATCAGCTCTATTCAATCAGTTATTATTATCGAGGTTGAGCTGCTAACATCCCTAAGAACATCATATTTGTTGTTGAAAAGATATATACTTTCCTATTTATTACTAGTGATATTAAGTTAGATAGAAGCAGTAAGCTTGAGGCAAAAGGGGCAAATGCTTAAAATGCATGATAAATAAGGTATAAATTATTGATAATAACAATTAAACTGTATAAATTAGCAGGCAACAATAGGTATTTGTATTTATTTAAGAAAATAAACTGTTTTCTTAGTTAATTCATTATATGAACAAGGTAAATATAAAGAACAAAAATATGAAAACTATTTAATTTGCCGCACTACACTATATTATACAATTACGTATATTTTTTGATTGCATACATTTTCTTTTTTTCAGATTTGACAAGTAGATGTCAGCTATGGCGCAAACAATTAGCAGTCTTGTAACTAATCAGTACGGAGATAAAAATAATAATAATTTTAGGCCAAAATAAATAAATCTTAAACTCCACTACATGTTGAATAAACGTACAAAAAACTTGCGAATTTTTGAGGCTTTCTTGAGACCCAAACGTTTTGAAACGGTATTATCAGTTCCAGAATATCCTGTTCGCCCTGTTTAACTACGACCAAAGACAATACTGCAAGATCACTCCCCACAATACATCACTGAACGGATTTCCTTTTACATTCACCAGTGTGACGAGGCCTGTAACATGAATGCCCCTTGGCACTTGGATAACAAGAGCCTATGCAATCATTCCTTGTTTTATAGA